GGGACTGCAGCCCTGCCGAGCCGCCCAATCCTGAGCTGATCACTTTTAATAAAGGCATTATAAAGGAGAAGAAGTCTCCTGGCCCTGTTTATTTCATTGAATATCTTAGGCCAAATGGTACATCAGAGAAACATTATATGCATGTAGTGTCAGGGGTGATATGATTAAAACTGCATACAGTTCTGTATTCCTATCATTCTTTTATAAATCTTGTTTTATCCTTCATACTAGAAAACATAGTAGGAGATAGTGTGATTTATGCCTTACTTATAGTTACATAACTGACATTTTCATATAACATTTTGTCTCAGGTTACCAATAAATTCAAGAGAGAGAAAAAACACTCTAACAGACTTAATGAGCCTAACCACTGTAGGAACAGTGAAACCTGAAGTACCAAGACCCATCTGAACAGTTCAGATCCACCAGGACCCCTCTTTGATCAAGGAGGTGAATTAGATAACCTCCAGACATCCTTGACCACCTCATTGATTCCATGATGGCTGCATGGTCTTTTTTTTAATTGCATCTGAAGCATTTGTGACTTGTCTATGCTTGGCTTTTGTTCAAATAAGTAGAAGGTTAATTTATGTTGCTGGCAGTAGTGTTGCTCTGGCTGTAGCAGAGTACAGACTCAGCCAAGGCAAACTTTATAAAGAGAAATCTTTCACTTGGGCCAGTTCATACAGCTAGTCTAGATACAGATACTGCATGCCCACACAGATTGTGCTGGATCTGAAGCTAGCAGCAAACACATGGCTGATAAACGTTGGAAACAATTGCTCTGGTAAAATGAGAGAGTGTTTCTTTTCCTCAATTTAGCTAGTTAGATTAGACTGATATGGTTTAGGACGACAAGATGTCTGCTATACCAATTGATATTCTCTGTTTTCATTTGAATAAATTACAAAATCAACCTTTGTGAAAAACTGGATTTGAAATTCCCCTTTGAGGAACTTGTGAGCTCTGGCCCCTTTGCACTGACACGGAGGAGCTCTGGGATGATTGGATTGTGACCAGCCATAGAGGGGCTCTGGACCCATCAACATCCTTCATTCATGGTCCTAATTTGTGATCCTCGTCTTGAACTACTCCATCATTTCTCACCCTTACAAATACTTTCCTTACTGCTAAGTGCTCCTCAGACGGCTTACATAAAACATTTCCACCTCTGCAAGCTTCTTATTTCAACTGTGTGCTATTTGTAACAGGGCCCTCTGGTTGATAATGTTGGAGTTTTGCATGAGCAAAGACTAGAGCAGACTGAGCACATATCCTAAATATCCATTTGCATTCGAAAGGGAACTTCCATTGAACTGTGGCTGAAATCCTTTTATGTTTGTTTTCTATGAATATGCCATCATGTGAGCGTTACTAGCAGAATACTTCTCTGTGAGAATGTCCATGTGACTTACTCATGGGAGGCAGACATTTCATTCAAATGTTGCACTTCCAAAAGGAGGTTCAGAATTTTCTATTGGCTTTGTTTTGATTATTTATTCAAACTAAATGTTACGATCCTTGAGGATAAAGCAAAGCACACCTAGGCAATATTATAGTCAGTGGGACAATAAGCATTCACACTCAACTTGTTAATTTAAAAAAATGGTATCAATATAGGCCAAAAGATATATGGGGCTTAAATTCACTTTTATTGATTTATTGTAGAATATACATTCCCAACTGAAAATATCAATGTGGATTACAATATTCATAAATTGGATGATCTGCAGACCTCCAGTTATTCTCTGAAGTATTTAATTCATGATTTTATAACAAGCACATTTCAGTCTTGAACTGCAGATCTACAATTGATTCAATGTAAACTTTGCCAAAGCAAATCCTCTGGTAGGATCAAAATGTGTGAGTTAGAGATGGAGGATGTGGTTGCTTAGTTACTAAGCAGGAGTCTACCTGAAAAGCACAGAGAGTATGGAGAGCACTTCAGAGTATGGAGAAGGGTTTTGCCCTTTACTTTTGACTGACATTTGTGCTGAATGTTAAACGTGGAACCAATTTTAATAAACAGTGACTCCAGTCTGGCAACCTCATTGCTACTGCAGCCAGTGGTAGTGCAAACATTAGGGAAGATAGAATCACTGGGGAAAATTTAGACCAAAATTTAGTTTCAAGAGGCATTTAAGAGGCATTTTAGAGAATGTACCTTGGATATTTTTCTCTCATATGCCATCCTAGTTGCCCTCAGAAATCACAAAGGTTTCTTATCTGTTTTAATATTTTCAATATATCCTTGGATTATTTTTAATAACATTTTTATAACTGTTTAAAATTAAAAAACTAAAAATATAATTAACCTATAGTACATTTAATTAGTTTTCCCTTTAATCTGATTCTTGACAGAAACAATATTTAACAAGATTCTGTGATGTTTCTGCAATTTGCCAATTTTTTTCAGATATTTATAATGTATTTTCACCATTGTCTTGAAAATAATCAAGAAGACAATGGATTATTCCCCTTTCAACTGTGCAACAATAAGTTAGAATCAGAAATGTTTTCCATAATTTGAAGCCTTAATGGCCACAGGGAAAAATATCTTTGAATCAAATCTTTAGTAGTTTTCATAATTGAAAGAGATGCTAACATATTGTTAGGAATGCACAAAGCTTTTGTTTAAGAAGATATACAGTTTTGACTATGAGTGAATCTTGGAAAACAGCATGATTTAATTTGCCATCACAGTCAAGTGATCTATATGAATATCAGACAATTTTATGACATACTTTTTTATGCTTCTGCAGCTGTCATCTTGTCTTTTTCCAATTTTCTTAGCTACAAAACAGATGTCAAACATTTTGTTTGTAGAAGTTACCCTGGAATTATTTTATCACTCACATCATTTATAGGCATTAGTGTACCTAAGGACGCAATTAGTTAAGAAATCTCTGCATAAATTGCAAAAATACAATAAGTATTGTGCAAAGCTACGCACAGTCATTTCTTTACAAATTTTGGAAAGTACAGAACATTTTTCTAGAGCTTGCATCTTAATGGGAGGTTACTGTCACAGCTATAGCTACAGTCAGTGTAGAAATGTAGTGAGCAAGAAAAACCCCATAAATAGTATGTAATGCCTCCCTTCCTGTGGCATTACTTGCCTGTGCAATATCTGTTTCTCATAACTAAATGCTAAATGCTGTTTTCCATACAGTTACTCTTTACCCATGTGGAAATGCTCAATGGAAGGAGCTCCAGCCATGACCTGTCTCTCTGCTGGCACGAGAGCTGGAAGGGATGCGTCTGCACCTCTTGTTTTTCCCTCTCTGGGTGGGGAGGCACAGAGGGCCAGGAGCCAGGACCATGGCACTCCAGCAGCTGAACATCTCAGGGACCACTGAGGACCTTGCAGGTGAGCCCCTGCTTCTCTGCTGGGGTCAATATTCACAAGTCTTTCTTCTCTGATCTTTGGCTCACTTTCATAGGTTCTTTCATTTCAATTTTAATTGGAGGCCTTGGTAAAGGGGCATATTCAACCCACTTTTTCTGAAAGAATCTTCCATCTCTGAAACCCTCAACACGCCTTGCCATCCAAATTACTTCTTCCCCCTCTCTCTCCTATTTTATCTTGTGGCTTCCTTCAGCTGCCCTCCCTCATGAACAGTTCCTGGTTAGTTAAGCAGGTGAATGCAAGAAAATCATATCAAGATGAAACCTCCTTTCACACTAGCTGCTGAAGCCTGGCTGGGAATTAACAAGTACCTCCAGTAAGGGTTCTCCTGAGCAAATCCTATTAACAACAGGCTACCCATGGTCAGTCAAAACATTGAAACACTGCATTTAAACACACCAGATGCCTTTGACAAAGTTTTATAGTGTTATTCCCTGTATATCACCTCCTATAGTGGGTTAAAAGAGTACAAGCAATGGCCAGAGCAATGTCGTATTTTAACAGGCAAAGCACAAAGCAGTATCTACAGTTCTTATTTCAGGTGAGCAATTGAGCATAGTTTTAGAACTATACAAAAAAAAGTGGTTTCTTTTAAATGTTGTGATTAATTTTTATTGAAATGCTAGCTTTCTTTGGGCCAAATTCTACTTCAAAAATGAGGTTTATAAAGAGTTAGAGTGCTTAATGTTACTCTGTGCAGGTTTGATTGATTCAGTTTTCTTCTTGCTGCTGCAAAAATGAATGCAATAAGACATAACTCTTAAAGAGTGAATTATCACCTTCAGGGAGGAGTCAAAGGATTTAGGAAGAACCTCAAATAAGGGATGGATGAACATATTAATGACAGCATTCACTGTCTGCTAGGTTGAAATAAATTAAGACAATTTGTGCATGTGTATGGCAAAGTTTTTCAGTTTTCTGAAACCAAATGTGTTAACTATTAACACATGCTAAAAACCCTTAACCCTTTGATAAAAGGTTGGGAAGTAAGATGTGCATGTTAAACCCAAAGTAATTTTCATTATTAGTATTATTATTAAATGTGGTATTTTGTCCTGTTTGTTTTTGTTGGGTAGGTAGTTGCTCATGTTCTGCCAGTTAATCCTGTTCTTTTGCCTGTTTTAATTATAAAGCACCTAATAACGTAGTGACTGCTTCTAATAAATTAAAAATACCTGGGTAAATAGAGAGGTGATGTTGTCTATTAGGCACAATATCCAGGTTTGGTTAAAACCAGGAAAATCTGCTTGAGCTCTTAAAGTAGCTTCTGCAGCTTGACACAGATCTAGAAGACTTGCTCTCAGCTCTAGCAGAAATGCCTGAAGCATAAGGACCTGGGAACTTCTGTTGAAGTACAGAAATAATCAGCACACACAACACCCGATTTTTTTCTATTCAGCCCTCATAAATATTGTTCCTAATTCTACATGTGACAGTGAAACAGTGCATTTTGCAGCCTTGAGAGGTTTTTACATTTTCAGCTTAGTGTGGTTTAACCACAAGCTGTGTAGCTTGGAGAAGAACAACCTACTTGTGCATTTCTCCAGAAGCAATGGCCCAAGTGCCTGTGAAGCAGGGGGGACACAGTGCCCAGGCTGTGCCAGTTTCCGTGTTTGCCACATCGGTGGTGCTGCCACTCGCCCTGCAGAGCCAATGCAATGCAGCTTTTAGTCACAGGGCTTACACTACCTTCTGATATTCTGAATCAACTGGGACTTGCCATGGGCTTTTCATCAGGCCCTTGTAGTTCTCCTTTCCTTGGTATACAGCAACTCTTAGAGGCTGGGTTTAGCCAGTACTTCTGAGAGAGGTCTCAGCAAAATTTGGATTGTTCCATGTATGAGCCCATACAGAATCTGAGTTCTTTGAAAACCCTGGTCATCATTATCTAAGTGCAACTTTATTCATTCCACGGCAGTAACCTTTCTGGGGACCTCACCATGGGTGAAAATACTGAGTTGAGGAGAAAAAAGGGATCATGAGAAAATGTACCACAGTAACCCCTTATTAGTGAATGAATGCACACACTCATGCATACTTCAGCTATCTGCTTTGATATCCAAATACAATAGAGCTATAGACTAGGCTCAGAATTTGACCTTCAGTATCTTTCTGCCAGGGCATTTATTCCTCAACTGGTTTCTTTAGTCTTAGGCTGTTTTTGTGTTAAGTAGAGGAGAAGTCTGGTAACCCCTGCTGTGCCAGAGGAGATTGGCCCTGTACAGCAATCGTGGTGTAAGACTGACAGACTTGAGCCTGACATGTAATGACATCTCCTGCCAATCCTTCTTCATCCACAGAGCCCAAGCTTTACTAAGCTGCTTAATGATGGCACAATGTTTACTTCCTTTTCAATGTAGGTGTGGAAGGGATCTGAATAAAATTTATCCCCTTTTGGTCATGAAACATTACATGTTGTGAAAACAGGTTGTACAGCTGAGAGCATAACAATTTGAGGACAGAACTACCTCTGGAAAAAAGCATTTCTGTTGCTCTTCTGCACATTCCTCTCTGCCTTTTATATCACTGTTTATCTTTGTAATTATGAAGTTCATCTTTCTGCATGGTGGTCATTGCTCAAATATTATTTGAAGGGAATGTCTCTTGACTGTCATTTTGCTTGCTCAAAGCAAAATGGAGTTCTTGAAATGTTAAGATTTATGACTTTTTTGCTCTGCTTGTCCCTTACCTATGCATATATAGATGTATATCTCTAGCTCAAACTGGCTGATTAAAGTAACTGGTGCAGAGGTATCCCCATCCTAGGAACAGTGTCTTCTGCTATATCTGTGGCTCCAGTCAATGCTTGTCTTCTGAGACCTGGAGGAAAAATATACAGTACAAACATAAAATCAAGGAGCAGGATCTATTTTTTTTTTTTTGATAAAAAGCTTTGCTGACCTGTGTTCCTGTGCTACAATAATGAAAGCCCATCCACCTACAGAACAGAACCTACATGATTCTACAGCTTTGAGTAGGGGAAATTAATTCAACAAACACAAGGCCCTGATGATTCTATGATCAATTATCAGAACTGCTCATTCCCCTTTAATAGTAGGGTTAATATGAAGAATGTGAATCTCTATAGGACTAGGCCAGATGCTCAGAGTTTTAAAATAATAGAGAAAAGAACACTTCCCTTTTAGGTAACAATCTAAAACTCTCTTAACATTCCTGAATGGTTTATCCTTGCTGTGCTAAACAATTTTCAGAGCGTAAGTGGTTACCTTTGCTGGTGTCTTTTGGTAATATGCATTGACATATGCAGGAATACATGGAAAAGGCTTTGTCACCACACCTTAGTGTTACAGGTAGTGTGTTTTATTGACAGCCATGAAAAAAAAAGTAGAAAAAAGTGAGGCTTAAAGCAGAGGTCTTGCACTTGGCACAAAAGAAGCAGGCTTGTAATGTTCATAGTTTCCAGGGGAGCTCATTGCTCCTAAGATGGGATATGCCATTATGGGAAGTTCTCTGCCAAGTGAGGAGCAAAGCTGGGCATCACACAGGAACTTCAGATGAGTTTGGGACCCAGGCTACTGAGTGCTTTGGAGACAACAGGCTTGGCTGGAGTCAGCCCTGTAGGAAAACACTCAGAGGGTACTAGTCCTTGTCTGTGCAGGAGAGATGAAATATTGCAGCCTTCTGCACTTGCTGGAATTTCCTGGGAGCTCATGACTTCTCACTCATGTGCCTGACGTTGCTTTGGTGTAGACAAGAGCTGGCAAAAGCCTGTAAAATGGGAAACAGGCTGACTCCCACAACCATTAAATGACATTGTTTTTCCAGGCAGTTATCATAAATAACATTTTCTGTAAGAACACATGACAAGAACTCTATTACATTTGCTCTGCTTTGAAAGAAATCCCCTTTTACAATTCCTGGGTAAATCTGGCTAAAAGATTCTGGAATGGGACTTTTGTGATCAGAATTTTCTGCTGTGAACTGAAAAAAAAAAAAAAAAGTATATTCTTTGTCAAGGGGGTTTAAAGTTGACACAATCCAAAGTAAAAAAATTCACATAATCTAAAATGACCAAGAATATTTGTACAAGTTAAAATTTGATGACAAAAAATCTTCAGAAAAGTCATATTACCAGACAACTGTAATTCAAAAGTGACCACAGAATTTTTTTTCTTTTATTCTAGATGTCAGCATCTCTCATAAACAAACAAATATGTAACTTGCCAGATGAATGGTCCAAATCTTTCATGTTCTGAAAAGAGGCAGTAACTAAATAAAGATTTTTTTTTAAGAAAAGTACAATATTTGACTGACCCTGTGAAATTTACCCCTCTGCTTCAACCCTCACCTGCACCATCACACTTCAGGTCACTGCCCTTTTGGGTGTGCTATCACATGTGCTCATTGTGATCAGTGCTCTCAGAGAAATGATCCAGTTTAGTCCTCAAATGGTGCAAGCAATTGAGCTGGTGCGGAGGAGAAGGCACTAACCTCTAAGGAAGGGATGAGTATAAGCCCAAGCCCTGAGTACATGCTAGTGCATAACTGAGACTACTGTTTAGTGGAATTTCCCCTCCTCCTGTATCAATTAATTAGTGACAGGGAGTCTCCCAGCTGCTGGCCCCTGGTGGTCAACACACCTCATTTGCTGAAAGGGACTGGCCCGAGGGTTTGGCCCATGGTGACTAATGCTATTCCAAGCGATTTAGCAGCTAGCACAATCAAGGCCCTCTTCCCAGTGCTTAAGAAGTTAAGGTGGTTGAATACAACAGGCATGGACTAAACTCCATCTCTTCTAGCCCAACAGGCTGAGAATGGTCCTGGATGGTGCTCCTTTGTGAGGATGTCTGCCTACACACTTATTCATCCATCTTGCCCATACCACATGATCTGTAAAGACAAAATTCTTACCCACTGGCCCTCTGCAAACTGTTTTTGATCACTCTGGAGGGAACATAGAGGCCTTCAGGAGTACCAACAGAATTGTAGAATCACAGAATAGTTTAAGATGGAAGAGACCTTTAAAGGTCGTCTAGTCTAACCCCCCTGCAATGAGACAGGGCATCTTCAACCAGATCAGGTTGCCCAAAGCCCCATCCAACTTGACCTTGAATATTTCCAATGATAGAGCTTCTGCTTCCTCTCTGAGCAACCTGTTCCAATGTTTCAGCACCTTAATTGTAAAAAATTTCTTCTTCCTTAAATCTAGTCTAAATATATCCCATTTTAGTTTAAGGTCTTGACCTCTTGTCCTGTGCAACAATCCTAAAAGATTTGTCCCCATCTTTCTAATCCTTGTCTGTGCAGGGCCTGTGTAGGCCCTCTTTAAGTACTGAAAGGCTGTAATAAGGTCTCACTGAAGCTTTCTCTTCTCCAGGCAGCACAACCCCAACTCTCTCATAATTTCTTCTTAAGAGAGGTGCTCCAGCCCTCTGATCATCTTGGTGGCCCTCCTTTGGACCTATTCCTACAGGTCCACGTCCTCCCTGTGCTGGGCACCCCAGAGCTGGATGCAGCATTCCTGGTGGGCTCTCACCAGAGCAGAGCAGAGGAGCAGAATCCCCTCCCTGGCCCTGCTGCCCACGCTGCTCTGGATGCAGCCCAGGACATGTTTGGCTTTCTGGGCTGTGGGTGCTCACTGCCAAATCAATTCCAGCCTCTCACCCAGCAGGACCCAGAGTCCTGCTCTGCAGGGTTGCTCTCAAGCTCTTCTCCCCGCAGGCTGCACTGATCCCAGGGATTGCCATGACCCAGGTGTGGGACTCTCTCAGAGCAGTTGGCTGAGGGCCCTTGCTAGCACTCTGTCCCTCTAACCTTGGTGTGTCATCTCACAGCTTGTCACAGGCAAGCCTGGCATTATCCCACTCTCCCTTCAAGTCTGGTTTAAAGCTCTGTCAACAAGCCCTGCTAACCTGTGAGCAAAGACTCCCTCCCCTTAATTATGGGGGAAAAAATTTAAGGTTTAAATTTGGCCACTCTTCAACATCTCACTGAATTTGACCCACAGCCACCGAACACCATTGAAAGGAAAGCTGCAAAATAGTCAGTTCTGGGGCTGGAAGAAAATTTCTGGGCAATGTTTCTGAATGCTTTTGCTGTAGTACTGTCATCTTTGTAAGCTAATACTTCTTTTAGCAATGAAACCACTTTGATTTGGGTAGAACTCAGAACTTCTCTGCTTTCTTAGAAAAACAAAATTATGCTGATTTGTATCTTTTCCTTGTACAGGCTGCATTTGTTTGCACACAAGATGTGAATAATGAAGGAGTCTACAAAATTCAGCTGGCGAAATTCTATCAGAGTTTGCAAGAAACAAAACAAACACAAAAACAGCCCATCAAGTAAAAATGGCTGATAGATGCAAAAGGCAACACAGATGGAGGTAATGGAATTTCAAAAGAGGAATTAGAGAATATCTGAATGGAAGCTCGTAAATCTGCAGCAATTCAGCTTTGCCAAGAATTGCAGTGGGAAATCCTCATTATGGGAGATATTTCCATTCTGTACTCACTGATGAGAACTTTGCTAGGGCAACCACAGGGAAAGCAGGAGAGCCAGCCATCAGCATTCCTGAGCCCTGCCAGCCTGCAGTGCTGACTCACAAGGCAGCCTTGAGTGAGTCACTCATTGCCAGATGCTTCCACCTGACCTTGTCAAGGTGCTGCAAACAAGGAAGCAAAACAGACTCACCTTTGGCAACTCTGGCAAACAAGTTTTATCATGTTGTATTCCAGCTTCCCCTACACTACCAGTAAGCAGTGTGCCCAAAGAAGAAGCTTTAGGCCAAGCCCAGCCATTTCTGGGACTGGGAGCCATTTTCCTGGCATGGCAGACACATAAAGGAGTTGTTTGTAACAGAGGAAGACTTGACTGTGGCAAAGGAAACATGACAACTTTCTACACAGAAAGTGGAGAACCTGGCAGCAGAGAAGCCAGGCTCAGCAGATCCTGTGGGAAAGATCAGTGAGCAAGGAGATGCAGAGTCCCAGGGAGGGAGCCACATAAACATCTGAAATAGCCTCCTACCATGCAAGCTCGGCTGAAGGGCTTAGATAGAGCCTGGTCTTCAATCTTCCACCAAATGGGAAAAATATCAGTGCTTCTAACAGTGGGCTGGTGAATCCTGGATGGCTACAAAATCTGGGGATTTTTCTGTTTTATTCCACCAGTTTCTCACCAGAGGGCATGCCACATTGCCAGTCTGGGAAGGACAGTCCTTGTGTGACACTCTGTCTCAAGGCAATTGCTGTGACATGCTCTTTCTCTTCTGTGGGATCAGATGTGGGCAGCCTGATCTATGTTAAAAAAAGGTCATCAAAAGTTTCTGAAACAATTTCCTTGAGACTGAGATTTCCTGAAGGTTTTTCTCTGTAGTGCCTCTCTGTAATATCTCTTGTACCACCACCTCTGACCACAAACACTGGGCTGGACTAACATGACTTGCAAAGCCTAAAAAAAGACCTGAGACCTGAGTGGTGCAAGGTGAGACCTGCAAGCTCAGGGGAAAAGGAGCCATAATCATCCTTATCCTTGCCTAATCTTCATCTCCCCTTGCCTCCCAGCACTGGCTCTGGATCAAACTTCCCTGTCTCATGACAGGAGACAATGCCATTAATCACATTGCTGCATCCAGTATTTATCCATAGAAAAATCAAGCTGTGTTCCAGGTTATTGAAAATCCCTCCTGAGTGCCAGCAGAGGGTTAGCTTTAGGCTGCAGCTGCCCAGATACCATTAGTGGTAAGAAGCCTTACTATCAGCTATATGGGGAGATTCTTGGGGGGGATGGGGTGGGAGGGGGAGATATGAGAGGCTGCCCTGCAGAGCTGTAATCTGGGGTTTACAGTTAGCCCACATCTC